TCAGTTATTGTTATGCGATTTTTTTCCCTCCTGTAAAAATGATGCATTTTAATATTCATCGGAACAGCTATATATTGCACGGTGTTTCTGATGTTGTTATGCGGCGCCGCTTTATGTGCCGAAAAAGCTGTTATATCCGATGTTTTATGGTTACAACATAAAGTTTTTGTTAAAACTGATGCGGTCTTTTTTATTGCGTTTCTCTGTCGCAAATTTTCCTTGATTTTTTTTTTTTTGCCAAAGAAAATACAATGAAAATTTTCATATGTTAAAAGGAAAATGCGGGAAATTTGAGTGGAAAAATGAAAATTTTTCTTTGCACTAGGCTATGTCCCCAAATCCTATTTAAGCTGGCACCACTGAGCTGCTCGGAATCGAAGAGCCTGGCATAACTAGGCACGAAGCATCCTAGTAGCATTACTAACATCGATTCCTTATGCAGACCTTCTTCGTTTTCCTTTTTTTTATTTCATTCCTTATTATAACTTTCTGTTGATAGTTTTGGTTTATTAAAAAGGAAGGTTTTTTGGGAAACGAAATTTCCCGGTCTTCACGACCAAGATTGTTGCGGAGCATAGTATCTACCTTTTGCTTTGTATCTGTTGTGACTTCGGGTTTTTTTCTTTTTCCCGGGAAGAACTGTCTCTGAAAACGCGGGATTATTCCAGTTGCTTACAAGCAAGCTGATGGCGATTTCACAATTGTGGTGGAATCCCAGGATTCCCAGAAAAGCAATTGTCCGGGGTGTTGCTATTTTCTCGAAGGAATTTCAGTGGTTGCAAAAAACTAAAGATAGAATATTTCGGTAATTATTCCTGTGCATCTTGAAGTGATTATGCTCCTAACTTAAATGTTACATTCCACGGATTGTAGTTTCTATGAAGAAATAGCAGTTGTAGCATCGTTGTTATTGTCTTCGTGATCATCATCATCGTCATCACGATGACGCACGGTTTATGGCGCGGGGCCGGAAGTGGAGGAGAATCAGGTTTCATCGGTGGCAGCAGCAGCGGCAACAAATCTGGCTTTGAATGGAAGATGCACGGATATCATGTGATCACCATCAAAGCGGTAGGGATAGAGATTGTCTCAGTGAAGAAGGACTACGGATGGTCATTTCGGCGCCCTGTTCGTCGGTCATCAACAACAACAAATCACTCGGACCCTACTTCTATCAGAACTGCTGACTGGTATCGGTATCAGCACTTCATCACCGATAAATAACATTCCAGGCACTCTCAGTGAACCAAACTACCCCTTTGTTGCATCTGAAATTGTTTCCGCTGAATATGTTGCCGAATCAGACAAACAATAGCGAGCAAAGGCATGTTTTGTCCTGGCTTGACTAGATTCGCATTGTTGCAGGTCAGAAACGCCAGTCTGACCTCACTTCATATCACATTTAATAGACTTTTGTCCAGTCTATCTGTGTTTACAGCTTAGGGGTGAAACACGCTGGAAAAGAAGTTTCCTAAGCATTACACACTGATGCCATAAATTTCGGCATGCCGGATTTTCTCAGCTATTGTTTGTTTCTTTCTGTTGATTTTTATCGTTTTCCTGATTCTTCTGTTTCAGCCTTTACCTTGTTACTTCGTCCATCTCGAAACTTTTCTTCTAACTCAACTTTTTCCTTAATTAGTTATTTCGTTGCTCTGAATAAATTTCTGTTTTATTATTTTTGGGGGGCGGGCGGAGGGGAGGGTTGTTTCAATTTTTTTTTGAAACTTCGTCGAACAGGTGGTGAAGTTTCGAAAATTTGCATTTTAGGTATTTAACTGCAGCCGGGTAATGTGCAAAATATTAATTATTCGGACAAATTTGTTCCGGAATTAGGTAAATTTGTGCTAAATTTGATTTCTGGTTTTTTTTTTTCTATTCTTTTGCACATAACAGTGGTGATTGGTATTGAATATGTATTAATCCGTGCGCCTAGTATTAATACTTCCCCACCATCCACTTCCTGCATGTGATTTTAACAGCGGTTTTTTTCGTTTCTGGTTTTTAAAAGCGAGGCAAATGAGTTTTTATGCGTTTTGTGCTGTGTAACAGCAGTACAAAACGCATATTGTTACGGGTTTGTCTGTG